AAGGGTACCAGAGAAATTCAGATACTATGAACACCTGTTCCAGAGAAGCGTTGCTGCTAAATGCGCTCCACAGGACCCTTTTACGCTCTCATTCAAGTTCAAAGGGGACGCTGAGCTCCCAGAAGGAAGCCCAGTGTACCCCCTGAACCCCAGAGCAAGGGAAACCCTAGTCCATTACATAAAGGATATGTTGGAGTGAGGGATGATTGTGCTTTTTAAATCACCAATGGTGTCTCTCATTCTCTTGGTCCCCAAGGCCAACAACAAGCTCCACCCCTGTGTTGACTACTGCCATTTGAACGCCATAACCAAAATGGATTCCTATGTCATCCCACTGATGGCGAGCATCTCTCAGATGATTGCTGGAAGCCAAGTGTTCTCAAAGTTGGACCTGGTTGACGCCTTCAATCAAGTGCTAGTGGTACTGAGCACCAACAATACATGGCCTTCAAGTGTCACCTAGGGGTATATTAGTAAAAGGTTATGCTATTTATTCTTAAGAACGCCCCAGCCATTTTCAAAGGACCATTGACCTTGCCCTGTGAGACTTGATTGTGAAATGCTGTGTCACATACATGGACGACATCCTGGTTCTCTCCAAGTCTTGCAAGATGCATATGGAGGATGTCAGAAATGAACCTCAGGGTGCTGGACAAGGCTAACCTGTGATTGAAGCCCTCCAAATGCAAGTTCTAAAAGGACTCAGCATCTTTTCTAGGCAACGTTGTATTTAAAAAGGGAACAGCCATCTTCCTATACAAGCTGACAGCAGTGAAGGTGTGGGTGGCGCCAATGGATAATATTGAGGTGCGCAGTTTCTTAAAGGTGGTGAATTTCTTGAGGAGATTCACCAAAGACCTCTCAGAAACAGCTGCCCCGCTTACCCAGCTGACTAAGCAAGTCCCTTTTTGTTATGAAAGGAGGAAGAGATGGCGTTCCAGTCAATCAAGGAGGCCCTTCTCACAGCGCCAGTCCTAGCGCATCTGGACGCTAACTGTCCATTTGTTGTGGAGACAGATGCGTCCAACCCCTTCATTGGGGCGGTCCTCTTGCAGACAGGTGAGGATGGTTTGGAGCACCCGGTAAGCTACTTCAGCAGGAAGATGCTACACGCAGAAACAAACTACCCTGTCTATAACAAGAAACTTTTGGCAATTGTTGCAGTACTAGATGAGTGGCAGCATCATCTGTTGTATGAATGTCACTCATTCATGATCTGGACCAACCACAGGGCCCTTGAGTCCCACAAGAGCCCCATAGTATGAACCAGAGACAAGCCCGCTAGCACCTAGAGCTGTTTCACACATGACTTCAAGATAGAATACAAGCCCAGGGAGAGTAACTTACTCCCAGACCTACTTAGCATGGACTCAAAATCGACCTTCGCAAAGGAGGAGCTAGACGTGTTCAACACGGCCACAATGCTCCCTCCCCAGGTGTTTGCATTGATACAGAAATAACGCTCTGACTTAAGGGAGAAAATTTGAATAGCCCAGCGACGCACCAAAATTGGGGACAAGGTTAGGAAAGAGATAGAGAGGGGACCCTAGTGAAGCCTACAAGAATTAAAGGAAGGAGGGGGCCTCATCCTGCACCACAACCGACTATGGGTCCTGACGCTCAAGCTTCAAATTGAGGTAGTGGAGTTATGTCATGACCACTTCCTGGTGGGACACCATGGTGTGGGAAAACAATTGATCTGATACCCTGGAACTACTCATGGCTGGGCCTAGTGGGAACCGTGAGAGGGTATACCGTGTGCTGCATTACCTGTGTCCAATCAAAGCCATCTCAAAACAAACCTGCAGGGAAGTTGAAATCACTGCAGATTGCAAGAAACTCATGGACCTCCCTTAGCATGGATTTCATCACCGGGCTAACAAAATTGGAGGGCTGTGATTCAGTCATGGTGGTAGTGGACCAACTAACAAAATATGCTGAGTTCTTCCCAAGCACCTCTAAGATCATGGCGAAGGACATGGAAGAAATATTTGTGAAGAAGATCTTTGCCCTACACGGATTCCTAATTGAGATCATCTTGGACAGGGGTCCACAGTTCATCTCTAGGTTCTGGATTCACCTCCTGGAAAACCTTTTTAAATAATGCTGTCCCTCCAATACCATCCCCAATTAGATGGCTAGACAGAAAGGGTCAATCAGCCCCTGAACAGTACCTACAGTGCTACCTCACCACATGACAAGACCATTGGATCAAGTGGCTGAGAATTGCACAGTTCGCGTACAGCAACCTGGAACACTCATTGACCAGTAAGTCCCCCTTTTTTGCAAACCATGGGTATCGCCCATGGACGATGGAGGGACACACTGGGGGAATGAACCCCACGGTGGATGATTTAGTGACCAGAATTAGGAAAAAAAACTGAAGACATTGAGAGCCAACCTGGAGAAGGCGGAAGAGGCTCAGAAGAAAAAGGTGGATGCACATCTCTCTGAGGCTCCACCCCTCAAAGATGAGGATTATGTTGCGATTAATTCCAAGCACTACACACCTCTGGGACAGTACAGGAAGTTTGGACCTGCCAACCTAGGACCTTACAAGGTCCTCAGACAGGTGAATGAGGTGGTATATGAACTAGAATTTCCAGAAGTATCATGCTCACACCCAGTTTTGCATGTTTCACATCTCAAGAAATCTGAAGGCTCCATACCAGCAAAGCCAGAGCTGGTCAATTCAGACAGCCCAGGAGAGATGGAGTATGAGGTGGAGGAGATCCTAGATACCAAGATAACCCAAAAAAGCGATGGTACTTGGTAAAATGGGTTGGATACCCAATATAAGAATCCTCCTGGCAAACAGCCGCCAGTTGTGCCAACTGTCCCCAGAAGGTGGAGGAATATTGGGGGCGCAGGGGGCTCTCCTATGAAGGGGGTGATGTGATGGTCAAGGAACTGCCTGACTGCCACATAGCCTCAACCCCCCTAAGGCAGGGATTGGGGCTTTTAGTAATATTGATAACATTAAAAATATCATATGGTTTGAGGGCAATGACCCCCATAAATGGCATTCTGACAAATTAGATGTTGACAAATTGATTAAACCTCAGAGTGGAGGTGGCAAGGGCCAATGTAAAATGGCTATCAGGCCAATCAAAGGCCGCCAACCTGAAATCTGCTGAAACAAGAAATAATGAGGACAACAGCAAAGGTCATTTAAGCAAATCAGGGGTTGTCAAGCCATATTATGTCAAAAGCGGTACTTTTAGAAACATGGCAATGGGAAGCTTAGAAATCAGGAGCTGCCAAGCTGAATCCACTGCATGTCAATAATAAAAAAAGCCATAGCGAAGGGCAGCCCAGATAATCAGGGGCTGCCAAGATGAATTATGCCTAAAATGGAAGTAATGAGAGTCGAGGGGAGCAGCAGCCAAACAAATCAGAAGTTGCCAGAAAACTTTATGCATTCTAATTTCAAAGTTTGTGATAAGGTTGAAACAAAAATGCTGAGCTCTGATTCATCCCCTGACAAATTAAATTAAATGCAGAATTTTTCTATAACGCCTAAAGTACCTAACAAACGGTCTATAGCGGGCCCAGATTGGAATATTGGAGGCCAATATTCTCAAAATAGGCCCACAGACATCCTGCTGCCTGAAGACTCCATGAGAACAAATTTTCCCATATCCCCCCTTCCTAACATAGATAAAACCAGATAAGGTGTTTAGGACACTTCATCTTCTGTATATTAAAAAAAACCTCTAAAATTGGAAATAAATTTTTACATCTTGAATTCATTTATTAAGGTTTTGGTGAAAATCCTGGACTTTGAGCGACAAATGGACCATTCCTCAGACTTTGACAGAGCATCACCTCTCTGTACACCCTCTCTGGAAGACATACTGTTCTCCTTAGTCTTAGCATTATCCTTATCATATTCCAAGTATATATCAGTAGTTTCTCATCAAGCAATGAACAAAGGACCTTACCACAACTACTCTCTCCTGTTTGTGGGCCCTCACTTGGGCCCTCTTGCCCAACTGTTTTGTTGCAATGTGGAAGGACCCCATTAATCACATTTTTAGCCTAATCCAAATTTTTCATTGATTTCCCTTTGAACCTCAATATAGTTTAAATACTAAGCGGCAAGCTTTTAAAAGGGTTTGCTTCTGACCTCCCTCACCACTTCTAATAAAATATCCATAAAAGTCCAACTCTTTTAGCTTACCAGTGCTTTATTAACTTTAATATAAGTGTTCTTAATAAATCCCCTGAATCAAATTTTCTGTCAGTTGAGAGTAATAATTCTCCTGCTGAAATATTATTGTAATTTAGGTGCAAAATGCACCAGCTAGCACATTAATAACCTAAAATCCAACAATAGGTTTTTCACATATATGATTTAAGAAAGTAAAAGTTCTTAACTCTATCTTATCATTTTTTTATAACTTTCATTAGAGAAAGATAATGTTTATATTAATATTAAACTATTTATTGATATACATAAAATGTAGGAATTTATAAACTATTAAAATTGAATCCATATTAATTAAGACATTGCAGATACTACCCTTCTAATAACCTATAGCTCTACTCATATCGAGATTTCTGTTAACCATATTTCAGAGTATCTCTGTTAATTGATGTGGCAGTAATCAGGATCATTTTTTCTCTAAAGAAACAACTATCTAATGGTCCATAATATATGAGTTTTTTAATATTATTTATGAGTAATAGTGATAATTCAATATTACAAACTTTATCTTGTACTAGTAGGTCTAGCCCAAGAAAGAGGCTATCATGGGTTTTATCTATTCACAGATACTGACATCAAACCTAAAAATTCACATGACGCCACACTGGTGAGCCCAAGTGGTCATGTAAGATGGGGAATGGGGGTTAGGGAACTTTAATATGGGGCAAATTTGCTTGAGGTACTGCACAAAAATAGTAGTAAAGTGACCTAAAAATGTGGCGACCGTGGATTGAACATGGAACCTTCAGATCTTCAGTCTAATGCTCTCCCAACTGAGCTATAGCCGCTATGCTTTGTATAAGGCTCAAACCCATGACCCTGAGATTAAAAGTCTCATGCTCTACCAACTGAGCTAATCTTTTTAAAAAAGATTCAGCAGTAGCAGGAACCACCCTGCATGAAAACCACCCAAATCTTCCTTTTTAACTCCATATCATCAATTAATTGATTAATGATAAGAGGGGATGGAGGAAATTATGTTCATCAGAGACAGAACAGGTTATGAACCTGTTAAAGCATTTTTACCCACCTTAGCTTGTGGTTACAGGTGTGCGCAACTACACCCAGTTCTACTGAAAGAGCTAACAAAGCTTATTTAAATTCAAATTGAGCTAACAAAGCCGCATTCATTACATAATTTGTGCTCAAAGTTTTTAAAGTCTCTATATTATGCCCATAGATTAGATATAAGTATTTTTTTGGATGTCTATGTGTATTATAACTTGTACAACTAATTAACAGTATTAATAATTGGTAAAGATTTTATAATTTTTGTGACATATTAAAAAAGGACAAACTACTATGTGATAGCATGTATGGCAATTATAATCAGGCAGCAATTCCAGGATGATTAAATGAACTGCAAGCCATAATTGTATATCAAGTTAGAAATTAAAATGTATGTAAAGTATGTGGGATATACAGAAAAAATATCTTTAATATTTTTTAAGATAAAAAGACTATACCATTTTTACATATTGAATGAAAGTAAAATTTATATGGTACTTATTTAAATTTCATTACTAATACTATCACATGGCTGATATTAATTTCTAGCCTAATTTTAAATAATGATATTTAGAGGTAGTAAAGCCAGGGCTCTTGTTTATTCAATAAATTAAGTCACTATCAAGTCATGATGAAAACAAAACACTTGGATTTTATTATACTATATAAGCTCAACAAAAACATATATTAGAAAATATAAAGTACTCATTTTTATAAAATACTTTAACTTTGAAAGGCTGCCAATTCTTGATAAATTATATTTAAATCTAATACAAGAGTACCAATTTATATACTTGTTTTTATCAACTTTTATCATAATTACTTACCTTCTGGGTAAGCAACGCGGCACTGAACGCCTCCAAAACTGAAATCATCCTCCTTAGTCAGTTTCAAACTTTTGCTGGGCCCCAGCAATTAGTTCCCAACCCGGCCCATCTGCTCGCCCACGTCCACGCCTTACTAACTCAACACACACCGCTCCACTGGTGCTCCCCTTCATGCCACGCCCTACCATAGGACTGGTGCGCCATCTGGGCGTATGGATGGAGGCAGGCGGATATGCGTCAGCAGTAATGGAATGCCGTATTCTGGACAACGTGACAAAGCAAATCGCCTCTCTCAGAGCCCACCCTACTTCCCGTACTGGCAGGGTTGTTTTAGCCAACTATATGCTCCTATACAAAGTCTGGTTTGGAGCCCACGCCATCCCCTTCTTCCCATGCTTCTTCAAATCTTTGTATGACTTGCTGCAAGGATGGCTTTGGTCAGGCCGCCCTCCACCAGTGCGGCTAGAGGTCATGTTTGGCCCTCATCATCATGGTGGCATGGGCCTGCTTGACTTCAAAGCCCATGCTGCCAAGATCCTGGGAACCTGGATCGCGGCCATCACCGCTCCCACACTCCCATCCCAACACTGGTCCCGCGCAGCCTGCTCCAACTTCTCCTGAGCCTTGGGCCTCAACAATCCATAAAACCCCCACTCCCTGATGAAATACCTCGCATCACACACATTGACCACAGGTCCTCACGGGACAAAAACCCACTACAAATGAATCCTACTCTCCATGCAGAGCGCAGAGTGGAGAATTTGTATTAGCGGACATACAACCCAAAGAGGCCGCCCCTCTCCTCAGTTCACACAAGAGGTACAGGGGCTACCCATCCATGATGGCGTGATCCCCATTCGGCCCCATGTCCTATCCATGGTGGACTACCTGGACATGATGGACATCCCTTATTTCCATTGAGACCCAAAAACAATCTGGAAATATGTACATCACCCTCTGTTGCAGCCTCAAGTCCGCTCCCATGAGTGGCGCTGCCTGAGGCGGGTGTATCGTACAGCTGAGCGCTCTAACGCTTTACACTCATCCTGTGTTGTGTGCAGCCAGTATGGAACGCTGTTCCACTGCCTGGAGAAATGCCCCACCTTTTAAAGTGTTATGGCGCGAAGTTCAACGTCTGCTGGGCCAGGATCAAACGCATCCCTTCAGTCTGTCAAGAGATATGTTTGCTCTATCAATGGCCTCCTCCCTTCCACCCTCCCTCCGTGCTCTGGTGGTTGCAATCGCCATGTGGACCATCCACACGACTGTCTTAGATGCCATTGCAGGCACCACCCCCACCCTCCCAGAAACTGTCCACAGATTCCGGTCTCATTTGGTGGACCACTTTCAAGCGTGGATGTTTGGATACCTCCCACCATGTCGCCAACAGCTGGTCTCCTCCTGGTTCCCAGTCTGGTTCATCAAATCAGACCCCTTCCTCCACACGTTCTCAATAGTGGCTATGGCCCCTTCACACGTTCCCTCCCCCTCCCCATAAGTGGCGTTCCCGCTGGCAACAAGAGATAGCATCACTTCTCTGGGGTGCCTCCCCCGGTACTAAGTTTATCTGTCCTGAGTCATATTTGGAAGTGTCCGTCCCATGGTCAGCCTTCCCCTCAATAATTTAAATTTAAATTTAAGTCATAATTAATTACTTCATTAAACACATCTTTTAACAAAAGTACACTAGTGATAAGAATTATTTTTAATAAATGAAGTAAAAGCATTTAGAGTTTTATTAAATAAGCAATTTAGCACGTGAAATATAGTTAATATTATTACACTATGAACAAGTAAGCTTATATCATAAAAAAATCAATTATATTGTTTTTATAAAGTGAGACTATCTATATAAATTAGCAGAACTTAACAAACCAAAACTACTTATTAAACAGGATATATAGAGCCAATATTTTTGTTTTTATTTAGTTATGTGTTAAGACCATGTAAATTATAATAACTGTATGTTTTTGGGTTTTGACTATATACATTCAAATTCAAGCCTACCCATATTATTCCTAATGTTTTGGTTCCTTCATATGAAATCAATCAATTTCTCATTACCAAAGATATTAACTTCTAAGGAAACATCAATATTCGAAAATGGTTTCACCAAGCACTTGACTCATAATGTAGCTTTGTAAAATTTAATATAACCAGAAATTAACCAATTTATAAGTGAAAATGACATCAAGAACATTGTAAAATTGCTATTTCACATCAGAAGTTACACCTAAAGTATTGATGCATTAAAAAACTAAAGGTTTTGGTATCAATCCTAGCAAAGTGGAAGATCATGATGTCTTAGAAACACAAAATTTTTTTCACCAAGCTCCCCAATACCTTATAAATATATAAACTTTAACTAATGAATATTTGCTTACCTGTATAAAGCTTTTTATATAGCTAAATGTAGTTGTGTACTCCTGTTTAGTTTATATAATCATGCTTTAGATATTTACTGCCACTAAACTGTCCAAAGGTTTTTATCTAATAAATAATCCAATAAGAAGATATAGATCTTAAGCTTTACCAACTCCTAAAGTTTTCATGTGAATTTCAGCTCTCATACACAAGAAAAAGACAATAGTAGGAATCTTATATACTTGAGATTATCAAACTAATTAAAAGTTTGTCTCAATAACAAAGTATTGCTAATTTAGGAACTCTACTCTTTCTAGTTATTAATATATAATTAGTAATAAAAGCTCTCTTACAAAAATTTAAATACTATACCCATACTATCTACATACAGTAAGTTATCATAATAAATCTTTGACATTGTAGGTTACAACATGATATAAATTATTTTACAACTTATTGATTATCTATACATAGAAAGCTTATTGACCTCCCCTACATATGGACTGATAAAGTTTCCTTTCAAATAAAAGCTTACAATCCTCCATCTAAGTCCCCCAGGAGAAGGTTAAATGGCCCACAAAATAAATGACTTTTGATGAAGGCTCACCCATTGAATATGTCAACCCCTTTTCCTCTGCCATGACCCTATATAAAATGGAGCTCTACTTTTTTTGCAAACTTCAAAGATATATAGGGGCATTAGAAAAATTATATGACCACATCATCCAAATTGAATTAATTTATGCTTTTGTTTATTCTTTTTAATTCAGTTCATTTACTTTCTAGATTATTAATTAAACTTTATAAAGATTAAAAAATAATAGCCTATTGCTAAAAAATAGTTACCAATTAGAGGATTAATTGTAATTCACCAAAGGATGCAGAAATGATGTCAGTACTATAATAATCTGATCAGAGATCATCACTGACAATGTAAGTAGGCAAACTAAGTTGTGGCTTAATAGCCAATAATTGAACTCCTACCATGAATCACTTGGGCTGAGGCGCCAATTGATTGGGGGCATTTTCTGGAGCTACTGAAGCATCTTAACGCTTGTTCTGGTGATAGTTTGTAGATGTACCCTAAGCAATGAGGCTTCTAAAAATTAGTAATTTGTTCCTGATACCAATAGATTGCTAGTGATCTGTAAAGGTTGCCCAACAGGAGACTGCTTAAAGTGATGGAACACTTTATGCTCAGATGTTAACCCCAAGGACTAAAGTTTGTGGAGAGCAATCAATTACTATTCAATATATCAGGTGAAAAGTTAATTAAATTTTTTATGAATAATCTCTAGAAATATTAATAGAAGACTTCAGCAGTTTAATATTTTATTATATTTTATTTCATGAATAAGAATTAAAGGGAATAATTTCCCTGTTTGATTAATCAATCAATACATAAGAGTATACATGAGTGGGGTTGGAACCACTTAGAAAGTTTACTTGACTGACCAGTTTTCTCCATACAACTAGTTTTTTCCTTTATGCTAAAAACCAAGTATGAACTTGTGCATTAGACTAATAAAGAAAGTTTACACTAAATGCTCACTACAAGGGGTAGTTGAGTATTTCAAGGAATGTTTTATGCCATATCCTCCATCCAAAGCAATAATTAGCATGTATGAAAGGAGCAGATTTAACAGAATATTTTGATGTC